AGCTCCATTTGGAAACAGCTTGTTTACACTGAGCGCAACGTTTTTTTTTTAGTTCCGGTCAATTATAGCCAAATGCTATTGAAAGATCAAACAAGAGACGAATGTGGGAACGTTGCCAGCATCTGACGTGGTAAGGCTCTCCTCAAAGCATGCCAACCAAGCCCATGTATCGTGGCGGTGATAGTTCAAGAGGATATTGCTGATGTACCCATCTCAGTTTCCATTTATGTATGCAATATATCCCATTGAATGCTGTGCTAAAATGTGACCGAGTGGCCGACAGAACACGACGTGCTCGGAGCGGGCGGCTGGTGAGGCCAGATTGATCCCCTGCGTTGTACTTTTTGAGAGCATTTGACATCAAATTCACAGAGTAACTCTGTCTGTTCGTAAATTCACTTGAGTCACATTTTGAGGTACCTAGATCATAACCTTCAGGTTAAATTAGTTCAAATAAGATCAAATTCCAGATCGGTATTCTTAGTGCTCTCAAACCTACTCATGTAATCACGTTTCACATAGATTCTTCTTTTAAGCAGAAGACACTGCTTTTTTCACCCTCGAAAGTTCACGGCAACCAAAAACCTATGAGGCCGTTCTGCTTTTTTTTTAATTTAGAAAAACGTCTTGACTTACACAAGACGGCATGTTCATAGGAGCCAATGTTGATCCATTCATTTTAGGCAAGTCACCTCCTCTCGCCAAAAACAAGCCATAAGGCTTTATTTTTTTCAGTAAAAAAGCAATCTGGTTTGAGGTAGGTCTGACATTTATACCTGACCAAAGGTCATTGGAATAAGCCGTAATTAAAAATGAAAATGTCTCATTGTCCAAGAAACCAGCTCAAAGACTATGGCCTCGTCTAACAGTCTGCTTTCGCATCAGATTTAACGATTCCTTACAAAATACCTTCGCTGACAGCCATATATTGACTAACCTTTCACAGGCCAGCGGTCTTACAATATGCAAACAAAATTGGAGTGAAAAATCGGCAGTTGATTTGTCTACATCCATGTCAAGTGTGGTGCAGCCACGCAATACCGTTCGGAATTTATCTTCCAAAACCCTCGGGAGGGAGGATGAAATTAACCCGAACACTACCTGGGCGCATTTTAAGACCCGTTCACAATTGGCTGACTGGCTGTAGGCTTTGCTGCGAATTCTGCATACATCTGCTGGTACAGACTACATGTACCCCATTTAAGGCCGTCCCTGGGTGACTGGGTGACTGATTGTGGGTTGGGGTCGATGCGACTCCCATACTGCCATTTCCAAAGTAAGAAATGCAGAACGTGGCCAAAAAATAACATAGAAATGGCTCCATCGAGACGGATAAGATTGTTTTTTAAGTCAGGCAATGGCCGGCGCTTTGTTCTCATGCAAATCGCACTATCTCGGCTCTACACACAAATTTTCACGAAATCATCCTTCTGGGCAGCACACCACTTAGACAGGCATGTTCCTTGTTGAATTATGAGCACATTTAGTACATCGTTATGCTTATATACCATATCTAGTTCCGTACATTTTGAGCAAATCTTTATTGACACACGCTAAATGATGCGCTACTCTGTTCAGCGGATGGCATGCGACGTAGCGCGCCATCTACTCACGCAGCATACATGCCATCTACAGGCCATCTGCCCACACAACATGCAAGTAATCTACAGGTTTTCTGCTCACAGAACATGCACGCCATTTACAGGCCATCTGCTCATACGACATACAAGAAATCTACAGGTTATCTACTCACAGAACATGCACGCCATTTACAGGCTATCTGCTCATATTACATACAAGCGATCTACAGGCCATCTGCTCACACAACATAAACGTATTCACAGGCCATCTGCTCATACTACGTATCCGCCATCTGTAGGTCATCTGCTCATACTACATACACGCCATTTACAGGCCATCAGCTCATGCGACACACATGCCATCTACAGGTCATCTGCTCATACTACATACCCGCCATCTACAGGCCATCTGCCCACACAGCATACACGCCGCCTACAGGCCATCTGCTTACAACATAAACACCATCTATGGGTCATCTGCCCACACAGCATACACGCCACCTACAAGCCATTCGCTCACACAACATAACGCCATCTACAGGCCGTATACTCTTACTACATACACGCCATTTACAGATCTCGTGCTGGCGCATCTGAGCCAACTCGGGTTTCATTCTCAGAATTAAGATGCTGTCACATATCTTCCTTAGAAGCACGTCTGAAGCGTAAGGTGCCAAGAAGCGCTTCGCCCGGTGCGTTGGAGCTCCGCGCCGGAAGGTTGGTCTCTGGAGGCGTATGTGAGCTCGGGCTCCGTTGGCGCCCGCAGAGGTCCCTGGCTGCTCTTGGCTTTCATCCGACCAGAAACATATGGGAGGAATGTCGAGTGGCACGCGCTTTGAATTGATTTGGAATGAAGCCAACATCGATAACATGTACATCTGTAAACATGTCACGCCATCTGTGTACATCATTACCGTCCATTCTTGGCAACGGACCTCAGTAGCGTTGCTTGTCAGCCGATTCCATCGCGTTCTCTGATGACCATCGCTCGCTCTTCACATTTACTCACCACCCATCCTAATCCAATTTTTCAAGCAGACCGAAAGCATGCTAGTTTTCGCTGTTCAGGTTATGCGCCCAGGAATGCGTATCCCATAGGATGTGTGCAGCGAAATGCAAAAAACTCGTGAGAAAGCGTGTACAGGTAAACGAGAGCCAGTGGTGCAAGTCACAAACACGCACACACACACACACACACACACACACACCACACACACACACACACACACACACACACACACACACACACACACACACACACACACACACCACACCACACACACGCACACACACACACACACACCACACACACACACACAGCACACACACACACACACACACACACACACACACACACACACACACACACCACACACACACACACACACACACACACACACACACACACACACACACACACACACACACACACAACACACAC